ATATATATATATATATATATATATATATATATATATATATATATATATATATATAATATATATATATATATATATATATGTATATATATATATATATATATTATATATATATATATATATATATATATATATATATATATATATAGATAAACATACATATATCATTTATACCTATATCTATCTACACATCTTTGGACATTCTCTCTTTCACAGGCTCTTAAGTGCACTCACCTTGGCGCACTCGCAGCGATTGCAGGGCAAGGTGGCAACTCCGTGGAGGCACTTGAGGCGAGCGGCCACCTTCTCCGTGCAGCCCGTGCCCCATGACCCGCAGGTGAGGCTCCACACGCTGGCCAATCACAAGTTATCATTAAGCCGTTTATTCGCCTAAAACAACTCATTAGGGTTATTGCAAGTCGTTTGGGTTGGGGTGGGGTGGGGGTTAGATTTGTAGGTTTGTTATTTTTCTTTCTGTTGATATTTTTAAAAAATGTTACCATTTTGGCACGCACTTTCCATTGGGGTAAAGCGACTGATCTCGTTACTGTTGTGAATGTAAATCGTTTTATTTCTGCACAACCATCTATAGGCTTCGGCTAAGAGAAGCTCATACTTATCCAATTATGGCAAATTATTAATTGATATTCACCAATATTTAGTGTGATCAATGGATTCGGAAACAGGGAATCACATGAACACAAATGGCGGACAAGACACGCCCATCCTCTCCTTTCGAGAATCTGAGACGTAAATGATAATCCTTTAATATCTATGGCATCGCCTAGATCAGGTGGAATGTGCACTCCCTCTCTCTCTCCTTGGTGGCTCTCCGATAGAGGGTCAAACAGGCCAGGTCACGAGGGGTCAAGGAGAGTGACCCTGGCAACTGTTGCAGGAAGGGGAGGCGACGGCGTCTTTGGCACTTCGAAGGGATGGCGGCCTTACCTGACGGCGCAGACGAGGAGGGACGCGCAGTAGAGAAGGGTCTTCATTCTGGCGTCCTGGGTGCCCGATGCACTCTCTCTATAGGCGGCTGGTGTTGTGTGTGCATGTATGTGTGCGTGCCGGGGAGCTGCC